CGTGGGGGAGGATGAACTCGGAAAATTTAAAATCCGGATATCGACTCCGGATCTCTTTCAAAAAGGGGAGGTGTCGTATCCCGATAAGAATATTGAATGGTAATTCTTGGGATCCAACTATGGACCGATATTATGAGTATATTTTTACCGTATAATTGTCACGTAACTAGTCTGTTCATATCCATGTCCCTCTTATTATGAGTTTTATTTCGACCTAGGAACTATCATTGTACGACTTACCATTCTTGAGTTATGCCCTATCTATTGATTCCTATCTCCCTCATTCACAGCCACATCTGGCTAATTATTGTACGAATGTTGTTTCATATTTTATTGGTACGTTGTGGTCTGTTTGATCGGTATATAAACCGAGTGTGTTTGAAATATAATGATTCATATCTCCGAGGCTGAGACTTGTGTTCTGGACTCAATTGGCTGGGCTAGACAGGGAAGCAGGACCAATCAGAGCTCTAGATTGCTCGCAAGTATTTTGTGCGTCACTGTTTCGATCGATAATAGGCTGCTCTCTAATAGGCGGATCACACGTTATAACAATTGGCGACGGGGTAGAAAAAAATTTCTGAACCCTCAATCTTCAACGTTGACCTGTAATTGGACGAGATTCAGTCTAATTATTTCGAGCAATCAGCATTCAGTTTTGTCATCGGCGTCCTTGAAAGACATTGGTCGTTAATTAATCATACAACATTTCTCATCACCGTGCTGATTCAAAAAAATGGCTATCTGTCCCGATCAATTACAATTGCTATTTGAGCGACAAACGCAGCGGTTCAAAAATAGCCAGCTGAATGTTTTAGACAATTTACGTACACGGCTCCTAAATCATCCATGTTTCGGAGATGTTACAGAAGTTGATAAATTAATTTCTAATTTGCATACGGAGCTGGAAACGGAATGCAGTACATATGAATGTGCTGATAAAAGCCTCTATGAATCCTTGATGAGCAGTAATGTAAGTGAAACAGTCATTCACGATGCGCCCAGTGATCCAGTAATGTCCATTTCAGAGACATGCCCTGTCGTGGGTTCAAATCCCACTGCCCTTGAAGCACCATGTACAAACAGCTCGCAGAAAGTCGACGTCTTATTAAACGATCATGAAATTCCTGCAGTACCCGCTCACGAAGAGACAGAAATTGAGTCAAGCATCATAATGACGACAGTTGCATCAAATAGAGTTCATCATTCCAGAACAAAAGTTCCTGATGAATCTACTCATTGGAGTTTTCTAGTTTTATCAAATATGAATTATCTCAATGACTCCTATGTTTTTGATGAAATTTACAAAATTGAGAAAAATTTGTCCAGTGCATCAAACGATGATCAAGAACCTAATAAAATTTTGATAGATGCTGATTATTCTAGTGATCGACTATCTACTGATGAGCTTCTCCAGAAATCCGATGACAATGTTCCAGAAGAATCAAACTTTGATGACTTCATATCAAGCGACGTTGATCCTCACCATTTAATCAACTTTAGAAAATTTTCTGCTCAATGTGACAAATACTATTTAAATAAAGTCAAATTAATGGTAGCTTGGGTATATGAGGATCCAACACTGTTTCGTGGGGGAGGATGAACTCGGAAAATTTAAAATCCGGATATCGACTCCGGATCTCTTTCAAAAAGGGGAGGTGTTGTATCCCGATAAGAATATTGAATGGTAATTCTTGGGATCCAACTATGGACCGATATTATGAGTATATTTTTACCGTATAATTGTCACGTAACTAGTCTGTTCATATCCATGTCCCTCTTATTATGAGTTTTATTTCGACCTAGGAACTATCATTGTACGACTTACCATTCTTGAGTTATGCCCTATCTATTGATTCCTATCTCCCTCATTCACAGCCACATCTGGCTAATTATTGTACGAATGTTGTTTCATATTTTATTGGTACGTTGTGGTCTGTTTGATCGGTATATAAACCGAGTGTGTTTGAAATATAATGATTCATATCTCCGAGGCTGAGACTTGTGTTCTGGACTCAATTGGCTGGGCTAGACAGGGAAGCAGGACCAATCAGAGCTCTAGATTGCTCGCAAGTATTTTGTGCGTCACTGTTTCGATCGATAATAGGCTGCTCTCTAATAGGCGGATCACACGTTATAACAAATAAATAAATAACCAAATCAAAATTAATCCAAGTTTAATTTGGTTATTTATTCTCCAAAGAAGTGGCTTACACTAAGTCACGAAACGTCGGAAAATCTAATTTTTCTACTCGTTGGGATATTACAAATATATTATTTATTTATAGCATTTCGCATCGTTTGAAAATGTATTAAATTAGTTAGCTCAGAAGTTTAGGGAAGACTCAAGTTTTTGTTAAAAAATGTCACAGTCATATAGCTTTTAAGCATGGTATTTTAAGTGAGCTTTAGTATGGATTGTCGTCACAGACCGTAGTTATCGGTCACGTTTTCCACTGTCGATAAATTTGAGCTATCCAATACCTTCGGTCATTTTTCCGCTTATTTAGTGAGCGAGTGCTGTATATAAGGATGTAAGTTTTATTGGAGGTCCCATTTTAAGAATATCGAGTTATCCTTAGCTACGAACTCGTCTGAGAAGTGCTAAATATCGCAAAAAATTTGAAAATTGGAAACGTGAAAGTTAACTTCAGCCTTTTGTCTTTTTTGTAGATTTCATATGATAATCAAATCATCTGATGTGTAAAAGTTTAGTATAAAAATAGATTATGTAGACCAAAATAAAAAAGACATTATTCCTGATAATTGACCATTGAATGATTACGAATGTTAAGCTGTTTATTCATCAATTTTAAGTCAAATCTATCAGCAACGTTCAAAGACGGCCCCACATCTTAAAGAACTGGAACACAAAGTATACTTTTGTACTTAATTATATCTTTCAGAATGTAGGAGTTTTAGAAAGAATCACTCCACAAACAATTTCTTGATGTGGTACTAAGCGATCAGTTTTTTTTAATCTTAATGTAGGATTCGTTTACTGTTTATGTTCGTTTTACTAACAGGTACTTACTACGTATTTACGGCTGTTACCCCTTGTAAAAGAGAATAGGTCCCTCACCAGCATTCTCTATCCAACTCTGTCTTGAAAAAATCCTTTCCAGTTGTTATTCATCCTTTTCATGTCCGCTTCCAATTCTTGACGCAGTGTGTCCTTTGGTCTTCATCTTTATCGTTTCCCTTCAAGATTCAAAATTAGCACTTGCCTAGTGATGCAATTTGGTGGTTTGCTTAGTGTACGTTCTATCCCCTTTTAACGTCTTTTCATAATTTCCTCTTAATCTGGAAGCTGATTTTTTTTATTTACATTACTGTTATATTAGATTTTGGAGTTCAGTGATTTTAATCATTAAAATTTTAGCAAACACAATCTTTTAAATACATTTTTAGAATGAAACACAATTAGATTTGGCGCATCCTATCTCATCAAATAAAGGAGGAAATAATCAGAGTCATTTTAATTTATTTTATACACAATATGACTGCATAGCGTATCAGTCTAGCAACTGCATTTTGATTGAAAAATCTTACTGATCAATATTACTTACATGGCACTGATTATGTTTTTCTATTGTCTAGCAGTTATTTGTTAGACAGATCAATATCTTAACAGTAACCTATGCATACAGATAATCTGTCTTTTGGCCATATTACATTCCCTGAAATGGTTGATTCAATTGTAAATCTATTAATAGAGATCAATCTAACAAGACAGTTAATCAAAAAATACAAATCCGTATATATCTTATGGAGACAATCAATCTTAGACAAGGTTATCAGGAGAATCAGCTTTATGATTATGAAATAACTCTAAGAAGCTTACTTCTGTTAGTAGTAAACGTTGACAGTACTGTCTAGAACGTTAACCAAACAATCGCAAACAAACTATTCAACTTTAAGAAAATAACTTTCCATTAATTATTAATTCGATGAAGAGAACCTTATTCATTAAATTCACTTGGTGTTGTTTTACTTGTATCTTCTCATTGATGTTTAGGACTGCAATTGATCAGTCTCTTATTGGCATATGAGAATACTGTGTTTATTGCCTCGATATAGCCTTACGTCACAAGCTTTCTAAGCAAAGATGGATAGTGTCTAGCAGTGGAATCCAGCACGCGCGTTTCGTCCTATTTGAGACTCGTCATCTGGACGTACCTGTATCAGAGTTTATGTTCACTCCAGAATTCGAACCCAATACCGTTCGCTTCAAACACCATCGCGTTATCCACTGAGCTACTGAGTCCTGATAGCCACTTGCTTGTTCAACGGGGTGAAGTTTTAAATTATCATATGATGTGTGTGGCGCATATATATTTGGTGCCCCCTTGTACCAATATTTATGTGTTCAAATAAATAAATAAATCATACGATATCTGGGTACATCCAGCTGACGAGTTCCAAATAGTACGAAACGCGCATCCTGGATTCCACTGCTAGCCATTATCAATCTTATTAATTGTTCAGCTGACAAGACAGTAAAAACTCAATAAATTTTATGATATTTGTCGATTTCGACAAAATTTGAAGAGAGAGGGATAGAAAAAAAGAAAAGTGTTTGCCAAAAAAAAAGATTTCAAACTTTATATTATTAAGTGCGTGACAACAATTTAATGATTTTGATATTTTTTCATCAAAATCAAATAATAATCATTATAGCTATATAAGAGAAAGAAATCAAGTATTTATAAAATAAAATATGTTCGTTTATATTACTGTACTATATGTATTTTGTTTAAATTGACATTATGTATTACATAAGCTTATCGATTCTATACTATCTAATTTGGATTTATTATTCAGTACAAGGAAAAGTTTACACAACAACATACAAAAAACTTCTACCATATTATTATTATATGAATTATCAAAAGCCTTATTATCTTTATTATTATTACAATTATTTAAATCAAAGATTAAGCAATTATGATTCTTCATTAAATAATTATCTTCCATCTTATCAACGATGATATTCTAAAATGAATTATCTAATGATTCCTGGAATTGACAAATTTAAAACTATTGAAAGTGAAACAATGAAACATATAAAAGAATTCACTAAAATTACTACTGAACATAAAAAATATGATGGTGTTTTATCTTTATCTGATTTTGATAATAATAATATTGATAATGACAAAAGTCAACTTGAAATAAATAAGTTCATCGATCCAAATCAGAATAGTATTAATGATTATCATTTTGATTTATCTATTGAGAATAAACGAATAGAAACTTTATCAAATAGAAATTTGAATGAAATAAACCATCAGAAATATCAAAATATTAAAAAATATAACGTTTCACCTATAATTAATCAGAAACAAGCAAATAATAGTGATATATCGTTATATAAATATTCTCATAAAGATCAAAATAAAGTACCTGCTAATAACAACAATCCGTATATGTCAAAACATGTTGATATTCAATCAAATGAAGAATTTCTATACAGTAAACAGATAGTTAAGAGTCGTCAATCTTCAAGTTTTATTATTCTTCGTCCACGCAAAATAAAGTAGTGATATTGATGATTTTTATAAAACATATTCACTGACTAATGTTATTATCATAGTATGCTGAATTTTGGATGAGAACCTGATGTGTAGTATTGAAGGTGATCACTGAGCGTAGACAAACAGCCAATTAGCCTACTAATTAGTAAATATGTGATTTCCTTTCTTGCTGTTGATTATCTACTCTGAACTCATTGAGTGTGACTGCTGGTAGTTGTATTGAATAAAGTATTATCTAGTGTTAATTCGGTTCTGTATTATGGGTTGTGAATCCTGGATCTGACATAATGTGAATAGTCTCATCGTCCTATTAACGTATTATCTTAATATACCTTAGAGTGAGAAAAATATTTTAAATCAAGCGTTCTACCTGAACCTATAATTGTTTTTGATAAATCTCTTGTATGAATTTAAACTGCCTACACGGAAATACATAGATGAATCAATATGAGCTGAGATCAGCTTAGCACACGTTAAGAAAGGCTGTGAAATTCTTTAAAATATACACTGATATCTTTTCTCTTTTTAATGAGAATACAATTCTATTAACCAATATGTCCCATCTTCTGATCTAATGAAAATGAGTGAAAAAATTTGTCGATGGCTTAAATGTGAAGTTTCCATTGTTGTTCCAGACAAATCCTACCTCAAATAGAACACAAAACCGTCGTAAGCACCTACCTCAGTGAAAAATATCAAACATACTATAATAGTAGCTCGAAATTTACACTGAATGTTTATCGGTTTAGTGGGCAGGAAGCAAACTCTCAACTTGTTAGTCTGAAATAATTAATTTTATGCGTGTAACCGAAGCTGTATTCAATACTGAACAAATGACATTATGTGTTGATAATTTACAGAATATAGCTGGCCCATACCTTCCAAAAAACAGCAGACTTGTGCTAATCTATTTTTGTTTATATGAGTTTCGTTCATAGTCATCAGTCCAATCGAAGATTCACTAGGTGACTAATTAAACTTTGTGCCTCGATTGCGAAAAGCACCAGGTATTGATAATTTCATTGGTAACCCTAGTATCTTTTATGATAATTAGTTAAAACATGAATTTTTAATCCAGTGAGGATCATAAGAGAGGTGGTTTTTAGGCATAAAATGGTTAACATAGACTGCGTTAAACGTACTCTCAATTGACTTCTTTCTGTTTTGCCATATTTCGATTACATTTGTTTATATTTTCTATTAACTCCGCCTGTAGCTCTTCCAGAGTTACTGTCGGTCCCAAGCCCGGGTAAAGGAGGAGGGTTGGGCATGGGGTTAGCGTCCCCATCCCGTAGAAACCTAACTCGCTAAAAAAAAACGCTAACCAGAAAAAATAACTCAAACCATTTAAACTCTGCCCTGGGAGTTAGAGGTAATATGACGCTTCATGGTGAAAGCCGAGTTCCTTCGGAAGCCACGAGGCTGATGCCCCTTCTGACAACCAGAGCAACAATTTTTATAGGTACATGGAACGTCCGGACAATGTGGGAGACCGGGAAGACCAGTCAAATAGAAACGGAAATGAGGAGATACAACTTGGCAGTACTGGGAATCAGTGAAACCCATTGGACCCAAGCTGGACAACAAAGGCTAAATACGGGAGAGATGCTGCTATACTCCGGTCACGAAGAGGAAAATGCTCCACACACTCAGGGAGTTGCTCTAATGCTATCCAAATCAGCACAAAATGCACTTGTAGGATGGGAATCTCACGGATCCAGAATCATCAAAGCATCATTCAAAACAAAGAAGGAGGGGATCACAATGAACATTATCCAATGTTATGCACCCACCAATAATAGCAACGACGACGTTAAAGATCAATTCTATGAGAGGCTGCAATCAATCATAGAGAAGTGCCCAAGGAATGACCTCACCATTCTGATGGGAGATCTAAACGCCAAAGTTGGAATGGACAACACCGGATATGAAGACATCATGGGACTACATGGACTGAGAGAGAGGAACGAAAACGGGGAAAGATTTGCAAATCTGTGTACATTCAATAAATTGGTCATAGGCAGTACAATATTTCCACATAAACGTATACACAAAGCTACATGGATCTCACCGGACCACACCACAGAGAACCAGATAGATCATATTTGCATCAATAAAAAGTTCCGAAGGACAATGGAAGATGTGAAAACCAGGAGAGGAGCGGACATAGCTTCAGATCATCACCTGGTTGTGGCCAAATTGAAACTGAAGCTAAAGAAGAACTGGACAACCGGACAAACAGCACCACAAAGGTTCAATACAGCCTTCCTTCGAGATACTGACAAACTCAATGAATTCAAGGTAGCTCTCAACAACAGGTTCCAAGCCTTACAGGATCTACTGAAGGAAGAATAAACTACTATGGAGGATAGCTGGAAAGGTATCAAAGAAACATTAACTTCAACGTGTCAAGAGGTTCTGGGCCCCAAGAAACATCACCACAAGGAATGGATCTCTACAGAAACACTGGACAGGATCAAAGAAAGAAAGAACAAGAAGACAGCAATTAACAACAGTCGAACAAGAGCAGAGAAAGTCCAAGCACAAGCAGAGTACATAGAAGCAAACAAGAAAGTGAAGAAGAGCATTAGAGCTGACAAGCAAAAATACGTGGAAGAACTAGCAACGACGGCGGAAAAAGCTGCAAGAGAAGGAAATATGAGACAGCTTTACGATACGACGAAGCTAGCAGGGAAATACAGTAAACCAGAGAGACCAGTCAGAGACAAAGAAGGAAGACCAATCACTGAGATTCAACAACAGCGCAACAGATGGGCAGAGTACTTCGAGGAACTCCTGAATAGGCCGGCTCCAATGAATCCACCGGACATCGAAGCAGCACACACAGATCTTCCTATAGATGTCAATCCACCAACGACCGAAGAAATCAGAATGGCCGTCAGACAAATCAAGAGCGGGAAAGCAGCAGGACCTGACAATATACCAGCTGAAGCGTTGAAGTTAGACATCGAAGTAACTACAAGCATGCTTCATCTTCTATTCAAGAAGATTTGGGAGGAGGAACAAGTGCCGATGAGCTGGACAGAAGGACACCTCATCAAGATTCCAAAGAAAGGAGATCTGAGCAAGTGTGAAAACTACAGAGGCATTACACTACTGTCAATACCAGGTAAAGTCTTTAACAGAGTGTTACTGAACAGGATGAAAGACGCAGTTGACGCTCAACTTCGAGATCAACAAGCTGGATTCCGTAAGGACCGGTCGTGCACAGACCAGATTGCGACACTACGGATCATCGTCGAACAATCAATTGAGTGGAACTCGTCACTGTACATCAACTTCATTGATTATGAGAAGGCATTTGACAGTGTAGATAGGAGAACGTTATGGGAAACTTCTTCGACACTACGGAGTTCCTGAGAAGATTGTCAACATTATCCGGAACTCATACGACGGACTACAGTGCAAAGTAATGCATGGAGGACAGCTGACAGACGCATTCCAAGTAAGGACCGGAGTAAGACAAGGCTGTCTACTCTCTCCCTTCCTGTTTCTTCTGGTGGTCGACTGGATTATGAAGACCTCGACATCTGAGGGAAACCACGGCATACAATGGACAGCTCAGAACCAAATAGACGACTTGGACTTCGCAGATGACCTAGCCCTCCTATCACATACACACGAACAAATGCAGATAAAGACAGCCAGCATAGCAGCAGTCTCTGCATCAGTAGGCCTCAACATACACAAAGGGAAAACCAAGGTCCTCAAACACAACACGGAGAACAGCAATTCAATCACTCTTGATGGCGAAACTCTGGAAGACGTGGAATCCTTCACATACCTGGGAAGCATCGTCGATAAACAAGGAGGTTCAGATGCAGACGTCAAGGCGAGGATTGGCAAAGCTAGAGCGGCATTCCTTCAACTGAAGAACATATGGAACTCAAAACAACTTTCAACCAATATCAAAGTCAGAATCTTCAATACGAACGTCAAGGCAGTTCTACTGTACGGAGCTGAAACTTGGAGAACTACAACAACCACCATCAAGAAGGTACAAGTATTTATTAATAGCTGTCTACGCAAGATACTCAACATCCATTGGCCGGGTACCATCAGCAACAGCCTTTTGTGGGAGAGAACCAACCAGCTTCCAGCGGAAGAGGAAATTAGGAAAAGACGATGGAAATGGATAGGACATACATTGAGGAAATCATCAAACTGCATTACGAGGCAAGCGCTAACTTGGAATCCTGAAGGGAAGCGGAAAAGAGGAAGGCCAAAGAACACATTACGTCGAGAAATAGAAGCAGATATGAAAAAGATGAATAAGAACTGGAAAGAGCTTGAAAGGATTACCCAGGACAGGGTTGGATGGAGAATGCTGGTGAGCGGCCTATGCTCCTTCACGAGGAGTAACAGGAGTAAGTAAGTAAGTAATATTTTCTACTGACGAATAAAACTTATGTAATCTGATATGCTGCACTTTGAATCTACGAATATATGTAGTCATATTCAAATGAATATGTTTTCAAATCTCTTTTAAAAGACAGTTAATAAATTTAAATCTTGTGAAAGTTTAATTACTTAAAGTGACACTATTCCTAATTTTAGTTTTGCTAATTACGTAATAAAAAGTAGCTAGAAATGCAAATAAAAATAATGAAATCTAGTTTGGTTAATGAAGTAATCGCCTGTTTTCATCAAATTAGAAAGACAATGATTTAATTCATTTAATCCATGATGATTAGATAACTACCTAATCTTAATGTAGTTCTGTATGTTCCTAGCCCACAAATATTTTAGTCCCATAATACATGAAACACATAAACCTAATATGTTCAACTACCTTATCGTTGTTTATCCAAATTCAATTCATTACGAAGTAGAAAAAAATGGTTGAGTTATCTATTTGAACCTCCAAAAGATCTGGAAATAAACCATATTCTATTTTCAAAGTACCATTTAATTAGAAAAATATATGAAAAATTTAATGGGAATATTAAACTCGGATGGTGAGTCGATTCTGATTGTAAGGATGC